AAGCTATGGTGAGTTTGGGATTTGCATGGGAAGTAAAAATTTGGAAGCAGTTCTTCTATCCCAGTGATATTTTATGGAGAAAAAGGTAGTTCACGCATTGGTGAGTTAAGAAACTGATTCCATGCCTATTGAAAAATAAAAATTAATGCATTGTCTAAGTTCAGCTAATGTGGATGAATGAGCTCACTGCAGAGTCAGTTTTGGATTGACTGTCATGCTATGGTATAGTTTTCTTATTTTGGACACCTTCTTTAAAGTTTGTGCTTTACATGTTTCAGGGTGCCCAAGCTGTTGGAAGGGGTAAGGAGGTTCAAGGTGTACCAGCTGCAGCTGATTTGTACAAGAAAGCAAATGACATACTAGGGTAAGGTGAACAAAAATAAAATATGATCATTGAATGCTTTATCTATAACTTTCAGATTTTTGGTTTCAAATACTGAAACTCCCAACTTATTTTATCAACACTCATTTGTTCTATACATGCAAACTGCCATTGTGGATAATACTCTATACGCTTAAATGTTTTTCAATGCAGTTTTGATCTTTTGGATGTCTGCACCAATGGACCAAAAGAAAAGCTGGATTCAACTGTTATAAGCCAGGTCTTGATTCCTTTTTTGATTCATACCCACAGCCAACCCGTTGTTTAGGGTATCTGAATCTGCTAGTAGTAACAAAAGAATACTAGGCGTATATCTCAATTTTGCACCTGTCTTCAACATGAGAAACATGCACTTGTACACATTGCTTTTTGAAAATTTGTGTTAAGGACAGGTGGTACAGAACCATGATGGGCCTACGTTTTTGTTACTAGAAGATTAGGACTCTCTAAAAAAGATATATTAATAGTATTTTATGCTTTTATCTCTAGAAGCTCTCTATATTTTGCTATTTCTCTAATTTTTGCCACTTTGCATATCAACAAATAAGTGTTCCTTACCTGAATATGCAATTTTTCTGGTTAATGATCTTAGCCATGTCCAATAATGAATTCTATCAGTGGCAAGAAAACCGTCTAGGAGAATCACTTATTTTTCCTGCTAAATGGCACCCACATAATCTTTGGTTTCAAGGTAGGTAAGTCTCAGTTTTGCAGGTCCTGTTTAATATTTGATTTGTGCCTTTGCAGCCAGCTATCTATGTCACAAGCCTAGCTGCAGTTGAGGTACTGCGTGCTCGTGATGGAGGCCAGCAGATAATTGATTCTGTAGATGTCACTTGTGGCCTAAGTTTGGGAGAATACACTGCTCTTGCATTTGCTGGAGCCTTCAGGTAATATAAATTTAAGTAGTCAGAGCTACTTATTTTGGACCAGGATCATCCTTCAGAACTTGGCAGAAATTAATGAGGCAATTTATGAGATGTATCCCTACCCCC